AGAGAAGGATGAGGAAGAAAAGGGAGAAGAGGACAGACTGTGGAAGGAAGGGAGGAGAAGAAGGAGGAAGAAAAGTTTTAAATATTCTCTTTTTATAATTTTGTCCTATGCTTCTTATCTGTATTTTCCTGTCAGAAAAATCTCTCTCTGTAGAATCATAGTAAATGGAACCAGCATGTATTGTGTTTTATGTGGTTTATATAATTTATTTTGAAGGGACAAAAATTTTTTTAAAGTAACTCAATAGAATCAGAATGGAAAGGTTTTATTGTGATTTTATGTGATCTTAAATGCTACATAGAACTATCTGGACCTAAAATAAAGGAGAAAGAGATTATACCAGAAGCCTCCAAATTTAATAAAATAAAATCCACATACAGAAATTCTGGCAGGCTAGCAGAAAGTGACTTAGGAAACAGTTATGTCCCCATCACAATATGCAACCCTCCAAGACCTCTGAGCTTGGCTTGCATAAAACAGGACTTGATACAGGGATTGTTGGCCATTTCTGTGTAAAGGGACTTCTCTTCCCTGGTATACCTGAGGCATTTACTAAGTGTATTAGTCAGTTCTTGCACTGCTATAAAGAAATACATGAGGGAACGATCCAACATGGCCGATCGCTAACATCCCGGGATTGCAGCTCTCAGGGAAGGCACGGAGAACTAGAGGACGCCACACTTTCAGACAAATTCTGGTCGCTCACGGAGCAAGAGATCCCCCAGTGGAGGAAACACACGGGTGGCCAGCGCGACTCTCGTGGCCAGTGCAGCGGTTCCGCCGGCACCTTGGCGCGGCAGCTCTCGGAGCAAAGTAAACAGGTTCGGAGGACCTGCACGGGTCCCCAGCAGGACACCAGAGCCCGGCACAGCCGCTGTGACGGCACCTCGGTGCGGGAGCGCTCAGCGCAGAGTAAACAGGACCGGTTTCCCTTCTGACCGAGTTTTGGAGCCCCGGGAAGGCAGAGTCGCCTACTACGGAAACAAGAAGGAAGCCAGACAGGAGAATCCTGGGCAGAAAAGCACCATCAGTTTTAACGCCTGCTCTGGCCCTGGGAACTAACAACCTGAACGTCCACTCAAGAGACCTAATCTGAAAGTTGGTAATTTCAAAGACGACAGGAGGATAAATTTACAATGACGGGAAGAAACCAGCGTAAAAAGCTGAGAATACTCAAAATCAGAACGCCTCTCCCTCTAAAGATGATCACAGTTCCACATCAACAATGGAACAAGGCTTGATGGAGAACGAGCGCATCCCAATGACAGAATCACTCTTCAAGGAATGGATAATAAGAAACTTCGGTGAGTTAAAAGAACATGTTGTAGCCCAACGTAAAGAAACTAGGAACTTTGAAAAAAGGTTTGATCAAATCCTATTGAGAATAGACAACTTAGAGAGGAGTATGAGTGAATTAATGGAACTAAAGAATACAATACAGGAACTCCGAGAAGTATGCACAGGTTTAAACACTCAAATTGTTCAAGCAGAAGAAGGGATATCAGAGGTCAAAGTCCAACTTAATGAAATAAAACGTGAAGAAAAGATTAGAGAAAAAAGGATAAAAAGGAATGAGCAAAGTCTCCAAGAAATGTGGGACTATGTGAAAAGACCAAATTTACGTTTGATAGGTGTACCTGAATGCGACGGAGAGAATGAATCCAAGCTGGAAAATACCCTTCAGGATATTATTCAGGAAAATTTTCCTAAACTAGCAAAGCAGGTCAAAATTCAACCCCAGGTAATACAGAGAACACCACAAAGATATTCCTCAAGAAGAGCAACCCCAAGGCACATAATCGTTAGATTCACCAGGGTTGAAACGAAGGAGAGGATACTAAGGGCAGCCAGAGAGAAAGGTCAGATTACCCACAAAGGCAAGCCTATCAGACTTACAGCAGATCTCTCGGCAGAAACTCTACAAGCCAGAAGAGAGTGGGGGCCAATATTCAACATCCTCAAAGAACAGAACCTTCAGCCCAGAATTTCATATCCAGCCAAACTAAGCTTCACAACTGAAGGAAAAATAAAATCTTTTATGAACAAGCAAGAACTCAGAGATTTTATTACCACCAGGCCTGCTTTACAAGAGCTTCTGAAAGAAGCATTACACACAGAAAGAAACAACCAGTATTAGCCTTTCTAAAAATACACCAAAAAGCAAAGAGCACCAACATAAAGAAGAATTTACACCAACGAATGGATAAAACAGCCAGTCAAAATCAAATGGCAGTAACCCTAAATTTAAATTGACTAAATCCCCCAATCAAAAGATACAGCCAAAACCCAATGGCCTGTTACATCCAGACCTGTTTCACATGCAAGGATACACAAAGACTCAAAACAAAGGGATGGAGAAAGATTTACCAACCAAATGGAGAGCAAAAATAAATAATAAATAAATAAAAAGCAGGAGTTGCAATTCTCGTATCGGAGAAAATAGATTTTAAAGCAACAAAGATATAGTGGTAAAAGGATCAATGCAACAACAAGAGCTAACAATCCTAACACCCAGATACGAGACTTAGATTCAATGAGACAGAAAATTAATAAGGATATCAAGGACTCGAACTCAGATCTGGAACAAGTAAACTTAATAAATATTTATAGAGCTCTCCACTTCAAATACACAAAATATACATTCTTGTCAATACCACATCACACCTACCCATAAGTTTAAATGAAACATTGATTGGCCATTATTAATACTCAATTTTTTTCAAAATAAAGCAATATTTCCATTTACTCTCCCTCTTTCTCTTCCTCTTTCTTCCTCTCGTTTACTTATTTTTTTTTTTCTTTCCTTCTCTCAAAAAAAAAGAAATCAACTTGTAAACCTCTAGATCCAGGTCGGCAATGTCTCTCTCATTGCTTGATTTCCTTCCTTCCCTTCCCTCTCTCCCTCCCTCCCCGCTTCCTCCCTCCCTTCCTTCCTTCGTTCATCCCTTCGGGAAAAAAAAAAAAAAAAAGAAATACATGAGAGTGGATAATTTATACAGAAAAGAGGTTTAATTGGCTCATGGTTCTACAGACTGTACAGAAAGCATGATTCTGGCACCTGCTTGGCTTCCAGGGAAGCCTCGGGAAACTCAAAATCATGGCAGAAGTCAAAAGTGGAGCAAGCACTTCACATGGTGAGAGCAGGAGAAAGAAAGTGAAAGGGAATGTGCTACACACTTTAACCAGATCTCATAAGAACTCACTCACTATTGTGACAACAGTCCTCTGGGAGAAATCTGTCTCCATGATCCAATCACCTCCCACCAGACCCCACCTCCAACATTGGAGAATACAACTGAACAGGAGATTTGGGCAGTGATATATATCCAAACCATATCATTCTCCCCCAACCCCTCCCTAAACACATGTCCTTCTCACATTTCAAAAATCCTTTCTCAACAGTCCCCCAAAGTCTTAACTTACTTCAGCATTAAATCAAAAGTCCAAAGTTCAAAGTCTTATCTGAGACAAGGCAAGTCACTTCCACTTATGAGCCTCTAAAATCAAAAACAAGTTAATTACTCCCAAGGTACAGCGTTAGGTAAATATTCCCATCCCAAATGGGAGAAATCAGTCAAAAAATTGAAAAAACAAAAAAAAGAAGAAGGCTCCCAGCCCCATGCTAGTCTGAAACCAAGCAGGGTAGTCATTAAATCTTAAAGCTCCAAAATAATTTCCTCTGATTCTATGTCTCATCCCACAGTGTTGCAAAGGGTGGGCCTCCACGGCCCTTGCCCTGTGGCTTTACAGAATTCAGCTCCTGCAGTAGCTCCCAAAGGCTAGTGTTGAGTGGTTACAGCTTTTTCAGACTGAGGGTATAAGTTGCTGGTGGCTCTACCATGTTCTATCATTCTGAGGTCTGGAGGACTATGACCCTCTTCTCACAGACCCATTAGGCAGCGCCTCAGTGGGGAGTCTGTGAGGATCTTCAACCCCACATTTCCCCTCTGCACTTCCCTAGCAGAGGTTCTCCCCAAGGGTTCTACCTCTCATTCAGGATTCTGCCTGAACATCCAGGCATTTCTATACATTTTCTGAAATCTAGGTAGAGGCTCCCAAGCCTCAACTCTTGCATTCTGTGCACCCACAGACTTAACACCATGTGGAAACAGCCAAGGCTTATAGCTGGTACCCTCCAGAGCAGCAGCCCAAGCTGTACCTGGGTTCCTTTTATCCATGGCTAGAGCTAGAGCTTCTGGGACACAGGGAGCAGGGTTCTAAGGCTGTGCTTTTCAGTAAGCCTTGGGCCTGGTCAAGGAAAAAACATTCTTCCCCTCATAGGCCCCTGGGCCTGTGATGGGAGGGACTGCCAAGAAGGTCTGAAATGCCTTCAAGATTTTTCCCATCTGCAGCCTGCTTGAATTCCTCCCCTAAAAATGGGCTCTTCTTTTCTACCACATGGCCAAGCTGCAAATTTTTCAAACTTTTATGCTGTTTCCCTTTTAAATATAAGTTCCAGTTTCAGGTCATGTCTTTGCTTATGCATATGAGGATAGGTTGCTAAAAGCAGCCAACCCACACCTTGAACACCTTTGCTCCTTAAAAATTTTTTCCACCAGATATCCTAAATCATCTCTCTCAAGTTCAAACTTCCACAGATCCTTAGAGCAAGGCACAATACAGCCAGACTCTTTGCTAAAGCATAGCAAAAGTGACCTTTACTCTAGTTTTCAATAAGTTCCTCATTTCTATCTGAGATATCCTCAGCCTAGATGGACTTCATTGTCCACATCACTATCAGCATTTTGATCACAACCATTCAACAAGTCTCTAGGTGGTTCCAAACTTTCCCTCATCTTTCTGTCTTCTTCTGAGCTCTCCAAACTATTCCAACTTCTGCCTATTACCCAGTTCCAAAGCTGCTTCCACATTTTCAGGTATCTTTAGAGCAATGCCCCACACCTTAGTACCAATTTTCTGTATTAGCCAATTCTCACACTACTATAAAGAAATACCTAATACTGGGTAATTTATAAAGAAAAGAGGTTTAGTTGGCTCACGGTTCTTCAGGCTGTAAAGGAAGGATCTGCTCAGCTTCTAGGGAGGCCTCAGGAAACTTACAATCATGGCAGAAGGCAAAGGGGGAGTAAGCACTTCACATGGCTGGAGCAGAAGGAAGAGAAAGAAGGAGATGCTACACACTTTTAAATAATCGTATCTCACAAGAACTCACTCACTATTGCAACAACAGTACCAAGGAAGAAATCTGTCCCCAAAGTCAAATCACCTCCCACCAGACCCCACCTCCATCATTGGGGATTACAACTGAACATGAGATTTGAGTGGGGACACATATCCAAACCATATCACTAGGCAATTAAAGGTAATATTCCAGAGGTAGAGAAGAAGGTCCAATCCCCCAACCAAAGTTAATTTTACATCTTCCTAACATACTCCATGCTTGCTTCTTCACCCTAAGAGTTCCACCAACCATTTCATTGCTGAAGTCAGTAATCTATGAAAAATCCACATCTCTTCCACTTCCTCACTCCAGATATCCAATTGTTCACCAAATCCCTTTGATTCCATATGTACAATGGTGCTAGATGCTGTATACCCTACTCCATTCCCACTGTCAATTTCCAAGTAGAGGCCCTGCTACCCCTTCCCTAGACTAACATAATAACCTCCTTCCTAGCCTCCCTCTAATTTTCTGGGAATGCCTCCCATCCATTCTACCCTTGACAGATGAACCTCCAAAATACAAATCGTGCTGATCCTTAACCAGTAAGTATCCATACTGCCATATAATTGTTTAAATCTATGTGGTTAATATATGTACCACTTGCTAAATATTAAATATTATCCTGGGAGTTCTGAGCATGATACTCTCTTCCTTAAAACCATTCTCTTATTTAAAATGTATTACCTTCAGTATATAATCCAATGCAAACCAGGCAAGATAATTTCCTAAAATGCCACTTTTATTTTTTATCTCCATTATCACCTAATGCCACTTTTAAACTGGTAACAAAGCTTTGTAATTCTTTGCCCTAGAGATTCTGATGGGAGACAATTAGAAACCGAAGTCTTTTATACATGTCCACATCTTTTGAAGGCTTAGACAGAACTTAGATTATGTTAGATCACCTGAAAGGTAAGGAGACAGAACTGACGAGGTAATAGGAAACAACTGTAGAACATGGGGGGTGAAATAGAAAAATGTACGCATAGTAGAAATCTAAACACTACACCTCAACAGTGCAGCAAAAACGTAGAGAGACCTCAGAATAAAAGGCAGAATGGTTCACTCAAGAGAATCTAGATCCCAGACACTAGAGTTCCCACTTTAACAAAGATTCTCATAGGTGACTACAAAGCCACAAACCTATAGAAACCAAAAGGACATTAAGGCTGGAACAATGGGTTCTCCATGACAACCACCGTGGTCAGATGATTGATTTGCTAAAGGGTCTCTGTAAATGTGTGACCTTTGAAGCATGGGAAGTTCCGAGAATAATGAATGTGTTGCCTGTCTCATTAGCTCCTAAGGCATCCTATCATGGATCTTATTATACTCAATATAGTCACCATTTTGGTTACCATTTTTGGCTACCATTTGTCAGCCCAGGTGATGGTAAACTTTTTCTGTAAAGAGCCAGACAGTACATACTGAACTCAAAATTGTGGCAATACAGTCTATTACAGCCATTCAACTCTACTGTTATAGAAGAATACAGCCAAAGGCAATATGTAAATGAATGAGCACATCAGTGTTCGAATAAAACTTTATTAGAAAAGCAAGTAGTGGGGCAAATTTGGCCCAAGGGTCATAATTAGCCAACTTCTAGTCCAATGCATTAAACTATAAGCTCACTGAGGCCAAAGATCTTATCTTTTACTAAACCAGCAAGAATTTATTGAGAATTTACCATTGAAATCCCTGAAAAGATGCCCATCAGGACTTAGCAATGATTAAGACAAAATATGTTCTCTAATGCAGCTTAGATTCTAGCACAAAAGGGGAGAGAGCACATAAATAAAATTAATATCTGAGAGCAATCAATCTTATTCACCAATGAGGCTCTACTGCCCAGCATAGTAGTCAGTATCCATTAAGTACTGAGAATAAATTTGCTCAATTAATATGTCTGGTACTATAAAAGTTTTAGCCAATCCTCATCTCCCTCCTGCCTAAGCAGTTAGAAGCTTAAGCTGCTGAAACTTCCAAGAGGAAGTGGAGTCACAAGCTAGTCCTAAAGCAGCTGGCTCAAACACTCATTATTTTTAATGAAACCACAATTCAGTGCCTGCCTCCAGCTCCCACCAGGAGCTGAAGAACATCTTCAGTGTGGGCTCTCCTATAAGGACACACCTGCTGAAATGACAGGGAATGAACAGCTCTTGTGGTAAACTGAATAATACCCCTCAAGGATATCCATATCCTAATCTCCTGAATCTGTGAATGTGTTGTCTTAACCTGGCAAAAGAGACTTTGTGGATACAATAAAGTTAAGAATTTTGACGTGGGAAGAGGTTCCTGTATGATCCTAACAAGCTCAATATAATTACAAAGGTCCTTATAAGAGTGATACAGGGGAGAAAAGCAAAGATAAGAGGGAAAGGGGTCGGGGGGAGATTTAAAGATGCTATATTGCTGGCCTTGAAAATGCAGAAGAAAGTCATGAGCCAATGAATGTAAGTGGTTTCTAGAAGCCAAAAAAGACAAGAAATATATTCCTCCCTAGAATCTCCAGAAGGAATGCACCCTGCTGATATCTTGATTTTAGCCCTTGTAAGACTCATTTCAGATATTTGACCTCCAGAACTGTGGGATAATACATTTGTGATAAGTGGTTACTGCAGCTTACAGGAAACTAACACGGTCCCTTGCTCCAGAACTGGCACAACTGAAGAACCCTGTAAGCCCTTTGAGTCTTACAGTAGTTGCCTTGATCTACCTGCACCAGCTCTGTGTTTGCAGCTCTCTTCCCAGAGGCAGCCTTGCAGAGATCCCCAGGCACCACCTGGGAGGCTGCGTGAAGCTGGGGCAGCCCAGGATTGTTGCCCACTCTGTTCCTTTTTCCCCCTTCAGGGCCCTCTCCAGCTGCCCCATCAAATCCAGGCAAGGCTCTACAAGACTACCCTTCCCCACTTTCCACCTATGCCTCAGCATTTACTCACCCCAAGCCAGCAGGGCTGCTTGTGTCTTCGTGAGAAATCACTGTTCTCAGACACTTCTCTGTTGTTCAAGTAGATGTACAGCCTAAGGAATAAGTTCCCAGGGAGGTAAATGGTCACCTAGGACACATCAGACACAACCTTTGTCAATTCCAAACTTTGAGTACCAAAAAAAAGGATTACTGAAGAAGGTGCTAATAAAACTTTAGTTGTGGAGGCCTCCCAATCAGAATGTGCTGCCAAGAACAGTTTCCTGCGGCTCCACCTCTCTCATTCCCATCACTGAAATTGTACCTTTTTCATCTATGTCGGCCTTAGTTCACAGATCTATAGAAAGGAAATTGGACTAGATAATTATTCTGAGGAGTCATCTACTGTACCATGACCTGTGACCTAAATAGGCCTAAAAAAGGGTTTTTCATTAATGGGTTTAAGCTGCTTTCCAGCTTTTACCTCAGAGCACTGAGGGTACTCTGCCCTACAGTTCTTTCCACAGAGTCCTGCAAGGCCTCCAGAATTTACAGGCCTGGTTTAGCCAGTTAGCCAAAATTGTTTTCATATCATGGGCTAAAACATAGAATTCCTAATATTGCTGAATGCACATTCTCTTTAACTGATTTGATTTTTATAAACCTAAATCTGTACTCACTTTTAAAAAATCATTTTAGCTGGATTTATTCTTTGACTCTTTTATTCTTTTTGTGTTAACTTTTCTACTGTATTTTATTTTTTTGTTTTTTTGTTTTGTTTTGTTTTTTGGGTTTTTTTTTTAGACAAGGTCTCACTCAGGATCCCAGGGTGGAGTGCAGTGGCATGAATACAGCATATTGTAGCCTCAGCTTCCTGGGCTCAAGTGATTCTCCCACCTCAGTCTTCCAAGCAGCAAGGACCACAAGTGCACACCTCCACACCAAGCTAATTTTTTTTTATATTTTGCAGAGATGGGGTTTCACCTTATTGCCCAGGCTCGTCTTGAACTCCTGAGCTCAAGCAGTTCTCCCACCTCAGCCTCCAAAATGCTGGGATTACCAGTGTGAGCCACCATGCCTGGTCTTTTACTCTATTTTCATTGTTCCTAGTTTATTTTGCCTCTTCACAATTATTTATACTGCTTTCTTACCTCCATTCTTCTTAGGGCTTTATCAAGATTGCATTTTACTTGTTTCATCCTATTTTTATTCTAATTTTAGTTGCTTTAGCATTTTTTAAATTTTTCTAACTAGTTAATTTTTATTATATCTTTCCTGGTTATTTAAGTTACACAACCGGAAAGCATAAAGAAATAACCTCCAGGAATAGCGTATAATCCAAGCAAGAGAAGTAGAATGCTTTCTTCTTCAGGCACCTACCAATTTGTTCTCTTGGTAATGTCTAGACATTAGTAAGAATTATTAGTACTCTGTGAATCAGGGAACTATAAGAAGTACAATTCGGAGTCTGAGCACCAGGGGCTTAAATCTCCCTATGGTAAGCTAAGATGTTAGTAGTGGTTAAAATAAAGGGGAGTAAGAGATAAAAACTTAAGTACTTCCCCCCGGGTGGTCCAGGGAGCTCAAAGTCAGTAAAGAGCTCTTCTAAGCCTAATACAAAAGGCTTCTTGGGAGAAGTGGGTCATATTAAGACCTACTTCTTAATTTTTTTTTTTGAGACAGAGTTTCATTTCACTCTTGTTGCCCAGGCTGGAGTGCAATGGCGTGATCTCGGCTCACCTCAATTCTGCCTCCCAGTCCAAGCAATTCTCCTGCCTCAGCTTCCCAAGTAGCTCAGATTATAGGCATGTGCTGCCACACCTGGCTAATTTTGTATTTTAGTAGAGATAGGGTTTCTCCATGTCTCTCTGTGGTTTCGACCACAGGCTGGTCTCAAACTCCCAACCTCAGGTGATCCGCCCGCCTCAGCCTCCCAAAGTGTTGGGATTACAGGCGTGAGCCACTGCGCCCACCTTGAATATTTCTTAATATCTTTAAATGTATTTGCTGACA